TGAGGAGTTGGTTTTCACTGGGCTTATTCGTTCCAGGAACTCTCCCCACATCCCCTCAGACTGTTGCTCCCGCTGCGTCCGCGCCATGGGAAGCAGGCACTTGCTCCTGCTCTCGGGTGAGTGGAACAAAGACCTCCCCTCTCTTCTCTTCCTGCCCCTGCCGTCCTGGCTACGTTCGCTCCCTAACGGTTGGCACTTTCTCCAGCAACAACTGCGTGTGCTTGTCCTACACGAAACTCTCCCACTGAGTCTCTTAGGCTGGGCTGCCCCAAAGCAGAACTGGGACGAGAACTAGTGTGTGTGAGTATTTATTTGGGAGGGGATCCCAGGAAGCACAGGAAGGGGCGCGGGGGTGTCACACGAGGAAGAGGGAAGAGCCGATGAAGGTGCGTTAATGAGTCACTGCTGTGCAGGTGAGGAAGCTGAGAGTGCATTAGCACATCCACAATAATTCCAGGTTTCCCTCTTGGTCTGTGCTATTCAGACCTCTTCTGACCTCAGAGGAAGCCGCAGTTCCTAAGGGTTAAGCCTGCACTGTCCAATCCCATAGCCACCGGTCATGGGTGGCTACTGAGCACTCGAAATGTGGCCAGTGTGAATGGAGAGGTGCTGTGTGTGCAAAATACAGACCCAATTGCAAAGACCTAATACCCACCAAAAGTGTTAATAATTCATTAACAATTAATTTATTAACAATTTGTTTCATATGAATTACATGTTAGAATGACAACATTTTGGTTCTGTTGGTTGAAGCAAAGTATATTATTAAAATTAATTTCACCTGTTTCTCTTTGATTTTTTTTTTAAATGTGGCTACTAGAAAATTTCAAAAGACCTGTTGGTTCACATTATATTTTTATTAGACAGTGTGGGGTTTGAGGTCTGGACCGATAAAGGCAGACTGTTGAGTATGGAAAGGAGGTTGCAACGCTGGCGTTTGGCGCTAGACTAGGTGGAAAAGCTGAATTGGCAGCTGAGTTTCGGGGAGCGGGGACCCACCTCTGCAGACACATGTACCTCTTGTGCTTCAGTGGTATTAATACATCATGCCCACCCCCATGACCCTGTGTCTACAGCCTGCCTGGAAGAATCTACAGTGAAGTTTGCACATATGATGGGGCAGAGGGTCAGGGGTAGTCACCCCTAACTCACCCAGCCTTCAGCCAAGCAAAGCCCAGGGGGTCCCCATCTGAATTGTCTCCTCCTCTGTGTTCTAGGTCTTGGTGTCTTGCTGGCTGTGTCAGGACCAGAAGCCAGGAATTCTGGAGGTGAGTCTACTCATGGCCAAAGGCCAGAGGAAAGGAAATTGGGATCTGGAGACTTGCTTCTGGGAGGGGAGGGAGCCCTTTGCAAGACAGTGAGCGCTGAGTCCCTGGTGTCTCCCACCTCCCGAGGGCCGTCCCCCTACTCTGGCATTACCACCACCATCTGCATTTACTCAGCTAAGCAACTGACGCACACCGTCCCGTTCAGTCCTCTGTGACATTCCTACACAGAAGGTGCGGACACTGTCCCCACCTGGCTAAGGGTGCTCCTGAGAAGGCGCCGGCTCAAGGTCACGCAGCTGGTGATGCCGGATTCTGCTCTTTTTTTGTGCAAACCTGTGTCCTACGTCATTCCTGAAAATGCTCTGCCTTTGTGCCACGTCGTGGGTTGGGTTCCCCTGAGAATTAGATCCTGAGAGCAAGTCATTAGTCTGGGAGGTGACCCTAGAAGGCACCACCTGGGAGTGGGCAGTGGCACAGGAAGCGGAGAAGGTGACCTAGGACCTTGTCACGAGAGTTACATGTGGGCGACTGGAGCCTGACCCCTGGGGGAGCCACGGGACACAGTGTGGAGCCCACGCCTCAGTTATTCCCCCCAGTGGGCAAGGAAGATGCTTTGTTGTTGTTATTTTTAACTCGTAGTAAAATATAC